CACTCATCTTCCTGGGTCATTTCTCTAAGGCACTCCTTTAAGTTTCCCACTCGGTCTTTATATTTTTCTTCAGCAGTCAGTATCATGTGCTCCAGCAGCCGCTGCACTTCATCTAGTCCCCCCACCTTCGGCGCTTTGTGGCGAAGAGATACCCACTCAGCTGATTTCATGGCAGTCCGGGAAAGCAGCCGCACAAAAAGCGCAGGAACATGTCGTAGTGGCCCAGCGGAGCTGAGGGTTCGTCCAGGGCACACTGGACAAGCCCTACTGCTGATTTGGTGTGATCCTTTGGCTGAAGAACTTGGGCATATGCCACCCCAGAGTCCAGAACGTTCTTAGACTCTGAGCGAAACATCGTGAAGACATACAGAGCGGCAATGAACTCCTAGAGGAGAAAGACATAGGAGATTTTCAGATGATACCTTTGGGGTGTCCTGGTGTCGAGGCAGCCTAAGGCTTGTCAATTCCAGGGGTATTTCTTTTGAGCAGCAGTGTGGTTTATCTATGGTTTTAAAGACCCAGTATTTAAAATGTTCAGATGTTGTTTAATGGTTCTGATATCACTTAGTATATCTGCAGAATACATGTATATAGAAATTACTCTTCCTCCTCTTGTAAAAGGATAAATATCTTTATTACACATCTTGGTGAATATCATCATTTATAAAATCAAATCAGATTTGGGGCAACTAGCTAATACTATTAATAAAAGACCGCTCTTGACTTGATGGTTCAGAGGTGAGTGTGTGTGTTGTTGGATCTCACACAGCAAAAACTTTTTTTTACTTTCAAAGAGTGTGGCTCAGGTCTCTTAATTTCTCTCCCTCTTCCTTCTCCTTCCCACAACATGGGTGAGGGAGGTGCAGGTGTAGGCTCTGTACCACTCTGTATTCACACCCAATTCTGAGCGATCCATTACATCTGAAGCATTTGAATTAAATTCCTCTCAAAGCCTTACCCCGCCCACATATTGTGTTATACTTAAGAAACAAACCACACTAGGGAATCTAAAGACGCTCTAACTTCTGTTTCAGAGTAGCAGCACCTGCTTTATGCGGCTACCTCTGACACTTCAAGTTCTAAGTCAGCAGTGAGGAGGTGGGAGTTCATGTGTACTTATAACTCAAATATTTCAAACAAAACCCAAAAACAACAATTACGAACACGATAACGAAGAAAGAAACAGATGACTTTATGCACACACCTGTTAAAAATGATGCCCAGCACTTTTTTTTGCCTCTTAAAATCCCCCAGTGAACACTGCACTCTCCAAACTGTCTTGTTTCCCTCCATTATATCTGAATTCCACAGATCCCCTCCAGTCAAAGCCTTTGCTTCCAATAAATAGCTTCTGTCTGCTTGATTAGGTTTTTCCTTGCACATTCTTTAAAGCACATTTACTCGTCTTCACTGAAAAGTCCATTCTCAGTGTCTCACGACCAAACTAGACGTGATGTCACAAAATCCTGCTTGTATGTAAACTGAGCTTCAGCAGAGGAATGTGAACACAGCCATCTAGTGTCAAACTCTGCTAAATGGAAAAGGGTTTTTTACCTGAAAGGTGAAGTGTATAAAGCAGTACATCCTCCTTCCATCTGAGGCTGCGGTGGGGAGCTCAGTGCACATGCCGGAGAACACCGTCACCTCCGTCAACTTCAGCCCGTACTCCTTCAAGTCCTCTTCACAGAACACACTGATGTTCCTTTCCAGCATCTTAAACGCCATCTTCCCCAGCTTTGTCAGCAGGTGCATGTCATCACTGGACCATTTCTGAGTGGAAAAAATACACCAAATGCAGATTTCTAAGTAAAGCTCCACTTTGTTTGTTTTCTACATTCTGTCATACAGGTGTCCATACTAGGGTTAAATTTTGAGCATAATAATGCAAATATAAGGGGGCCAAAAACAGTAACACTAATATAATACAGTCTCAACAATCTTCATAATGACATTCATTTCAGGTCTGTTGTCTCTGACAGCATCAGATTAGGGTGCATGATATTGTCTACAGATAAGTAAATACCTGCACTTAAAAAATAAATTACTAAATTCGAATTGTATTCAATACTAAACAATATTACTAACAGAAAATGGAATGTTGACAGAGAAAATCTGTAGCCCCCTACATCTGTAGTTTTTAATTTTGGTACTTGTTAAAAAAAAATAAATGCACAGTACTAGGTCATTATCCGCCTTTCCATAGTAGAACTGCAGCCTGCGATTGGTCTGGACGATCAAAATGCTGACGTAGAACGGCGTCAGCCTGGGTGGGTGCACCCCGTAGCCCTGATAACGGTAGCAGCGCTCGAACACAGTGGCCACCATCCAGCAGACAAAGGGTTGGCGAGCGAGTATTTGGAGTGTTGGCAGGCGCTTGTAGTGTGCCACGATATCTGCTGCTTGTTGTGCATCGCAAAAGCGTTTTGTCAGGTAGTCATCTTTCATCTCATCACTGGAGAAAAGGGGGAGGGGAGAGATAAAACTGGACTGAAACAGGATCAAATAAATTTAGAGTTGTACTGTTGCTACAGTAGTACTTCACTGATCGAACACATTCACAGGATGGCAAGTACACAAAATCATGAATAAAAGTTAATTACAAAGTAAAAATAGGACACACAGAACATCTACACACTCACCTAAAGCCCTGTATTTCTGTGACAACGTCTATGAGTCGAGATGGTATTTGTGAGACAGCTGCCCGTCTCCCCAGGATCCAGATGCGGGCGCCACGAAGCACAGTGCCTCGGATGATATTCACAATCAAGACGTCCGGATGTGCTTGGGTGTAATTGTCATTTATTACTGGAGCATTCTGGAGAGAAGAACAGACAAATCCATCAGCTCATCTGGATTAAGATGTTTTTAAAACATGCCTGGATTGCTCACATGACCATTTTGCATTTTAAAAACTGGCTATTTATACTTTGCACTTTGAAAAGCCCTATCTATAAAAATAGCACTGTCTTCTTGAATACAGAAAGTAGATATCAGAACTTTTGAGTGAGTTACAATTTGCCTATTATTTGTCAATAGTTCAATGTGAAGGTGCTGTCAAAAATTACAGAGATTTTAAACTTTATATATGTGGTTATGTTTATAATTAGGGTTCTAAATATTCTCGGTTAAATATGAATGGGTGAGTCAGGTGTATGTGTGCAGATGGGATACCTCCCAATCCAGGGGCGCTTGGTAACAATCAAACGAGTCCATTATGATGAGAAATTTACAGTCCTCTTCCTCCAGGTATTTCATGCCTTTGCACTCGGGATGATAATATTCTATCACTTCCATGATGGACATCTTTTCTGAAGGAAGAGGGTTGTTGGTACGCAGAAGCCAGAAAGTTCGGAACGAAAGTTTGATGACAAACTGCAGGTCCTGAGCAAAAGTGGACAAGAAAGAAAATGGTTTCAGTCCATTGTGAGAATTACTCGTGATAAATTTCCATTTGCATTGTTTCATCTGTGTCAGTAAGACATACAGTACACAGTATCAATGAGAGGTTTTCTGTTGCAGCTACAACAGCTATGTAATTCAACATTTAAGCAGAATGAATCAGTTGTTTAGCCACTTCAGAGGCCAAACAAAGTCAAGTAAATCTCACACACACACATTTTCCATATTACAGCCTTATAAACTAATATGATTGGCATGTATCTACAGTATCTGACGGTTTAGATTGCCAGATGCTCTGCTGTGTTCACAGGTTAGTCGTTAACTTTGTCTGTCTGTCGTTGGGTACCGGAGAGGTGTGTTTTTTAAGCTTTTCCACTGACAATTGGACTTTTCTTTAAAAAAAATAAAATCACCTTATTGGCACGCAGTTCTGCCCAATCCAGGGAGAATTTCCCCACAGAGACAGACATGCCAATTCCTGGTATCCCAGTGGTCAGCACCGTTCTCACCGGCCTGCCATCATCCGTCTGTAGTCGGAACAGATTGTTCACGCTAATGAAGGTGTCGGCACCGGGGACCTGGACAGGTGTCGGAGGGTGGGGTCGGAACTCATGGGAGGGGTCAATTCCTCCATAACCACAGGTGGAAATCTGGGGCTCAACGTAGATGGTATCTAGAAGATTTTGCCTTCCGGCTCGAACAACACCCTCACGGATGACTTGGTGTTTTCTGATTAAATATTGCTTCAAATAAAAACGGATCATCGCTGGTGGTGGAGAAAGATAAAGAGGAACATACTGAATACTGCATTAGTTTCAAATTTCCTTGGGGAAAAAAATATCTATTTCTAGTAACTTTGGACCTGCTACACACCTAACATCCTCAGATTCATAGAGAAAGCCATCTATGCTTTGTTAAATAACTTTTTTGTGAAAATAATGTGTATGGAAAATAATACTCATGTCAAAAACGCAGCAACAACATTCAGATTCAATTAAAATTTCACCAGTAGCAGCTGGTGTGTTGGAATAAAACCAGTTTCCACTTGCCTCTCTTGCACTGATTCCGTAGCTCGTCTGCCTTCGGTTTCTGGTTGACACTTTCAAGGGTACTTATAGTGTGCAACAGGGAGCGATCCTGGCCTGTGGAACAGAATTTTAATATAAAATAAAAACAGTAAGCAACCACTGACAGTATATAAGTCCCGGAGCACAACACAAGGCTGTATTCTTATTTTCTTAACAATGCATTTTACTGTTAAGGAAAAAATTAATATTCCAGCTGCAAAATTGACTACAAGTAAATTCTATTTTTTTTAAATAATCAAGTTCACAAAGTGCTCACGTCAGATCTGCCATCCCATCATTCAAAATAAATCTCTCTATAAAATATTACTTGTAGCTCACAAGAAAACAGTAACTAATTATTGGTTAGATAAGGACCCAACAACAAAGGGAGACTGGATAGCGATATTAAAGGAAATGTATGAAATGGAGAAACTGACCTTTTCTTTAAGACTTAATATCAATAAATTCCATAAGTAGAACCCCAAATGGTGTGTACACATGAATGTAGATATTACATAGAAGGAATAACAAAATGTTTCCTTACCAAGGATCTCCAGGATCCTGTCCACAAAATCGAGAAGGTCTCCCTCCATCACCTGCTGCAGCGTTATGCCTGGTTCCCATTGGTAAAACCACATCTTAAATTTGAATAGCTCTTCCTTAGTGAGGGATGTCACACTACTCTGGATGCACTGCAAAGAGAACGAAAACACAAGTTAACATGATCCTGCAGAAATGACAGGTACCCTTGGGGCCATATTAAGAAGAAGCAACAATTACAGTTTTATAATTTTACCAACCTTGAAAATGTGAGGCAGGTCCTGTTCCGGGTGTAGTCTGCCAGGCTGGCCGTTCTCATCAGTCTGAAATATGTCATCTGGTTCAACTGGCTCAGGTGGTTCTGGGGAATGAGTTACCAAAAGGTCATCCATATCCTCCTCATCATCTTCTTCTGAATGATCCCCCAGATCAGAAGACCTGGGAAACAATGGGAACCCCAGAGCTATGGTAAGAAAGTGCACTGCAAATATTGTCCAGTGATGACTGTGATTTGTGACGTGTTTTGATACGTTTTCACAAAGATAGTAAACACTTGTAGAGATAAACAGACCATTTTTAATAAATGTTTTATGTTTTCACATGTAAATAATAAAGTTAGTACAAAAAAAATACAATAAATGATTTAAAATGGTGGTCTAGATTAATTTAGACAAAGCATTCTATAGAATCTAAAGAAACTTATACAGCAACTCTATGAAAGTACTTTTAACGTTAAAGCTTTCAGCTGCATGACTGCTCCGTTAAGATGCATCCTTTCATTATTTTTAAGTCAGATACTCATACAATTATGACATTTAGGTGCATCAATAAAACATCCCTAAGCAAAAATAACTACTGCTTTGCTTCACATCGTCTAGATTTATGATAGACATGTGTGTCACCTGGTGTCAATGACAACTGCTCCTGGTGGTTGGGTCTGCTGCGTGGTCATTGTGTAGAGGGTCTCTGGAGACTCTGAGCGAATCATCTGCAACCTGGACAAAAAGTCGGGTAAAATCCACCTTTTAAAACCTGGTTAAAATCCTATTAGCAATTTCTAAGTCATTGAACCTTTCTCTTAAAAATAACAACGTGGAAAACTTAACCTGTGTTGGCCTCCACAGAAAAACACTCCAGCCATTCGTTTTTACTAAAATGAATCAAGGTAGAATATTGGTATTTAAAAGTTGATCCTCCACCTTAACAATTACACACCCCTCGCATCTATGCAACTCTACCGAACAACAGCTCTGGTGCAGGGTTATACTGGCCACAGTACAGATCACAGCAAAAGTAGTCAGCAGTAATGTACAACTTTAGCCATATGTGGTTAAAAACACACATACACATTAGGAAAAGGCTTATATAGCAAAGCAAGACACGCTACCCTGTCGCGTCATGAGTAGTCGATTCCTGTAGCACTGGATAACACTGGGAAGCGCTGGCCTCTGCACCCTCTCCTTCATTTTCCTCCTCCTCCATCATATCACTGTCACTCTTCATCGAACCATAGCTGGAGGGCGGTCTCTGCCTCTTTTTCTCCTCCTCCTCCTCATCCTCCTCCTCACTCCCCTGCCTTAAGATGCTGAGGGTGACACAAAGAGGGTGTTAGTATGCCAGTGGCTGTGACTTGTTAGTCGAAAAGGTCAGATAATAACCACTGAGATATGTCATAGAAGAATTAGCAGTAGTGAAAGAAGTATTCAGATAATTTACTGAAGTAAAGGTACTGATACCACTGTGAAATACTCTACACTACCAAGTAAAAGTTCTGCCTTCAGGTGAATTCAAAGTAAAGCTGTGCAAGTATTTTCAGCTAAAGTACTCATCTAGCAGAAACATGATCAAATTAAAACAGACAGGGACTATGTGTTTGGATTGATATTACTGGTGCATTCGTATGTATGTTGCATATCATCCTGTATACGTTTGACGCTGAGCCAACTGTTACTACTTTATATACATACTGTGGGTAGTTTACAGCAATGCATCAAACTATAACGTTATAATATCATATAACTAGTTTATACAAGGTTAGGTAAATCAATAAACAACTTAATTAGATGGATAATATGGCTAATGTAATTTAACGTTAACCGACGCAAGTACTTTAACTTTGCTTGTCAATAATGTGTAACATGCATTGCTAAAGTGACAGAGGATTATAATATAAAGACGGCAGGCTAAGTTACCTCATCTTCCTTGCCAAAAAAGCTGCGACAACACCCACCTTGCAACTTCGGTGTCCGGGTCCATGGCGTGGCTGTAAGACACTCACACACCTCTGCTATAAAAACTTATTTTTTAGAAACTATTTACGACTTACTTATCGCAATAACTTTACGTCCAGAAAAAAAAGATTCCGCCGCGTTAACGTTTAGTTTGACATACAGGCACTCGCTCTCGGCGGTTAGTTATGCTAACACATGTACTAAAGATTGGGTTTAGGAATACACAGACGCTCTAGAAATGAACGTTTCCCATCAAATAATCGATACGACTTAAATAACACTATAAACGGTGAGATAATGTCACCGGCCACGCATTTTAACTTCTTTCTGCTACGTTTTGTCTGCTCCGGCTCTTACTTTCAGTTTCTAGTCGTTTAGAGTTCCTCCTACAGTTACAGGACGACTTCCAGACCACACCCTTCAGAATAAAAGCATAATCTAAGGTGTTCACGAAAGCATCCACACGTTGCCAGCACAAACATGCACAGATAATGTACAAAGCTCATGCTGACATATCCATTTCGAGCCTAAATTGTCCACTGTAAAAAAAAAAAAATAAAACAAAAATTAAAATAAAATCTGTTGATTGTTAGTGCAGATACTCAATGCTCTGTTTGGCCTGCGCTTTATTTTCATGTTCTCATTTTATCTTTAGATATGCAACATACTTTAGGCACCCAAACTTTATAACATGATAATACTGCAATACCCCCTTTAATTTAAATGCACAAATCAGACATCAAATTACTTTTCTCCTCACACAAAGTCACCATTGTACAATATTTAAAGTGACATTATACCATCTTTCTTACTTTAAGAGCCAAAGTGATTTTTGTTACATAGCTACAGATTAAATGCGCAATAAACAGGTTAGACCAGGTGTACAGTTTGTAAATTAATTGTTCACGCATACTAATAACCTATGCTACACCTTTACTGGCTACCATTATTTAGCCTCCAGTTAAAAATGGTGCACAGAATTTCTAATCTTAATTATTTACACTGATCAGTCATGTGTTTTCATGTACTAGGTATGACAAGTACATAGACTTTACAAATACAAAAAAACCTCTATTACTCTAAATATTCTGCTTTTGTTCTGAAGGTTCGAGACGCACAGCGGAAGTTGTGTTTGAGTGGGCGATAAAGGGACCTCTTCATGTGGGGAAACAGTCAGCACTATACCTCAAACCAGGTTTAAATGAACTGCAATAGTATAAATTATTATTTAATTTGAACTGACATGTGACACTGGATTTCAAGCTTCCGCCTTTCAAATTTAACATGTAGAACACCAACATTTTTGGATGATGATTTCCTAGGAAATACATTTCATCAATCAAAATTGACTTCCAATGTAATAAATATGCTTAAATTAAGGAAGCTCATTCTGCCAAGTTAGCAAAAAGGACCAAAACTAATTGATGAGCTGAAGGAACGTGCTACCTAACTTTAAAAACTTTAATATATAGTTTGATTAACTGTCAGAATTAATCAGATTATTTGAACACATTTAAACAATGAATGGTTAAGGACACAAGAGACACTGCTTTGACTTGATCCATGAGCTGCATTCAGTCACTCAACTCTTGAGAACTGTTTAAGGGCTCAACTAGGAGGCTTTGCCACAATGTGCAATTTTTTTATTGTTTTATTGACAAACATGTAAATATAATACAAAGAAAAATAAAAGGCAGATTAAGACAAGATTGTCAAAAGTCCCAACGACAACAATAAAAACAAAGTTGGGTTTGAGAAAAGAAAAAAGTGAAAAAAAAGTATGATCAAGTAAAACTGTGGACTCCAATTTGGGAACCAGTCCTCACACCTTCATCCTGCTCATCATCTGTGGGATATAAAAAAAATAAATCGAATTAAACAACAGAAACACATTTCAATAAAATATAAATATGACTTGTAAAGTGCTGCCAGTGCTTGGTATTTGACAGACATGTGGATACCCCTTAGGTTGATAAATAAAATGAACACACCGTGAGTTATTATAATATAAGAACCAACACCCAGCCAGTGTGAGGAAACAAAGCCCCATTAACTAAATTAAAATTACTTTTATTAAGCAATATTGACCTTTTAACATCCAGCAGGATTTTCTTCATTTATAGACACAAGCGCCTGAAAACATTGTTAAAATTCAGCAGTTACTGAACACATATCAAGCAAGTTCTTATCACGCAGTTTTGCTTCATAAGCTTTATTACTAATGAGGGACACCCACACATAATCCGTCTCCAATAGTTTTTTCAATATACGCAAAAGGTACCAGTTTATTAGGTACACTTGTACATTTTAATGCAATAGCCCTGCAATGCCAAGTGCCACAGAGGAGTTGACAAGAATCCTTTTAGAGATTATAGTTGGGGTTGTGTTAGACTGCGTCATATTAAGGCGCTACATTGCTCTGGCTCCTTAATGCGTAAATTAGGAGGGACCACTGACTATGGACTCAAATTACCATCAAGTTTAGACTCAAGTGTAACAACAAAAAAGTGTATCACTACACACATACTTTACAAACATATTATTCATTCATTCATCAAAGCAGAAAATGCTTAGTTGCGTTACATCCACATTACCAGGGAACTGGCACACCTGAACAGAATGCCACTGTTAAACCTGTTTGACAAGTAAAAAATTGTGTGGTATTTTCCTTGTACAAAAAACAGGTATTACAGTGGCTATGCTTTCACCTGATTGGCACTGATTGTGAAAGTAACCTTCTGCAAATACCATGTATTAAAAACCAAATCTGTTTGTTTGTAATAGAGTGTTTCTCACTATAACTTGGAGGTTTTGACCAGTACCACAGCTGTACAGCGCAGACATGGTCTATATGTCTGCTGACAGCAGAGGGCGGTAATGTACGATAAAAGTAACCATGTAAAGCAATATAAATACCGTGTGAAAACATAAAAAAAATAGATTGATACGATGTGTTTTAGTGTGAAATACTGAACGTACATTATGAATATGTTCACAATGAGTGCGCACCAAAACAGGCACATTGCCAGTTAGGTGGGGTTTCCACTCCATTTCAATTCAGCACACATAACGGTACAAGCTGTTCTTACCAACTTAAAATGGACAGGCACTGTTCGACAAACCACACTTACCAGTAGAACTGTAAACATTGCAGACTATTAATTTATCTCACATGGTTTGTCGTGACTGTAACCAAATGAAAAAGTTACAGTACGGTCTTACCAACACAAGCTTTGAAAACATTAACTAAAAAATTTACCACAGTACGTGCGGCTGTTTGATTATCAGCCGATAGAGATTCTACATCATACCTATTGCCTTATATGCCACCTGGACTCCTTTTAAGCAGATTATCCCTCCCTTGCCATAACAACAAGTAGCACGCTGCCATGGGCAAATTAAGTGCAGACAGAGAAAACTCCACAGGGTACCTTAAAAAGGATGTTTTAAGTGTACCTTGTTAAACACTGAACAAATTTGTCTGTTTACCTTGCGAGCACTAGCGGTCAGTCCAGGAGACTTTGCAGTACTGGTGGTGGCTCGTGGAGACTTCCTCTGTCCTTTAGCTGCCACAAGAGAGCTTCCAGTTCTGCCTGCTCGCCCCACTCCAGTGCGAGAATTTGCAGAAGGTGTGTTTTCCTGGAATTTGCGCGCAGATGTCTGAGCTGGCGACTTCTTTGAGCTTTTGCCCGGGGATTTCCGCGTGGAGCTGCGTAGTTTGTTCAGCCCTTTCCTCAGGTAGTTGTTGTTCTTAGGGGTGTTCTCAACAGTGAACATCATAGACTGCCTCCGCTCGGCCTAAGAGAGTAACGTAAGTGAAATTATTATGGATGCATGCAAAACACAATGTGTATGATTACATTATCAAACAATGTTGTCCCTGTCCCTGCGGCGCACCGCTGCTGGATCACGCACGGCACTAAAATTTCCCACGACCATTAAACTATGCGCTACAAATGTTTTCAGTCGCACACTGTGCGAGCACGGCAACACTCAATGCTCAGCTCGCTTCCTCTCCTCGTTCTATGTAGAACATACGTGACAGATGGTATTATAAGAGCAGCGTAACTCTGAATCAGGAGGTGCGTAGCGAGTGTTTGATTGTCCGAGTGGCAGAAAGTGACTGAACACGAGCGCAGGAAAATATTCTGGCAGTAAATGTACGGTATCTGTTACAGTGTGTCAGCTTCTCAAGACCAAGAAAAGTCTGTTGTTTCCCCCCTGCTGAAAAAAAATCCTAGAGGAAACACTGTGTGTGTGTGTGTGTGTGTGTGTGTGTGTGTGTGTGTGTGTGTGTGTGTGTGTGTGTGTGAGAGAGATATATTACACTCACTGGACTGAGGGCAGGGTGAAGCTTAGAGGTGGAGGGCCCACTGTTCACGTTCTTGTTTTTGGGAGTCAGTGGACGGGGGAAGCAGCTGGCCTTCACCCTTTTCTGTCAGACGGAGACCGAGAGAGATAAGTACAAGTTACAATTATGACTTATTTTTGCTTACATTCATGTAGTTTTGTGACTGTACAATGACTATCACCAAAGAGCTTAAGATAAGAGTATGAAAGACAGACACAAAAACTGATCTTCAGGGTAATGACAAAGACACAGTATAACATAATTAATTAGTTTATTGTTCCACTATGAAGTGGACAATAAAATATGAACACTAAACTTTAACATTAATATATAGTTTGTCATGAGGCAATAAAGAAAAATACATCTAAAAAAAAGAAGAAAGAAAGAAATTACATAAAACATGTGTCTACAGTGCCACAGTCAGACTTAAGCGTGAAGTAATGCAAGATGTAACTATGTACAAATGCAAACAAACCTCTGGCGAAGTCTGATGTATGGACAATGTAGATGAAGACCGCTTAATCCCTTTCGGACTCCTGAGATGAGAGGAGCTGACCGTGTTGGATGGCAGCTGGCCTGGCATCAAGGACATGCGATGAGAACGTCTGCTGGCTGCGGCACCTGCGTGTCCCACCATGAGGGAGTGCCGATGGGAGGAGAGAGAGTCTTGCAGCTGGCCGGCATCATAGACGCCCGACGGATTGTGTCAGACGGGTCGCCCATTCTGAGTTCTTCATCTGTAAAAACGAACACACTGCCATGGCCGGTCTACAGGAAGAGACAGAGGGTTTTTTTAAAAACTGAAACTTCCAATCTTTTAAAGCTATAATAACATTTGCCAATCACATGCCTGAATGCTGAAAGGGCAAAAAGGCAGGAAATATATAATGAGACCCTCCCACACCCCAATAAAACTGGCCGCGGCTCTATTATAACATAGATGGTAAAGCAGGACCCATGACAATAACTTATTGTGTGATGTGTTGCAGTGGGAATCAGAGTCAAAGTGTCTAATCCACTGCTCCATCGCAACCTCTCTATAATTATTATTTTGTATTAATTTTTTACCAAACTTCAACAGCTAAATGTGCAACATGCAATAATTGAGTCTATAACTAAATAATAACTACTAACTTTCAAATTAGTTCAGTAGAAGTTTTAATGAATAAGAGACAGCAGCAAAGGTTGTCGCCTGTTTAAGACCTGGTGGCCTAATTGTTAAAGTAGCACATCTTGATAGGTAGCATAAATCGACAGAACACTTTCTGAGTTTCACGTTGCTGTGTTGCTTTAGCTGATGCCTCAATTAGCCTAAGTATAAATGTAGAATGGTTCGCGGTCAAAATCTTTTTGCTGGTCGCACAAAGTTTACAACGGACGACAACGTTCTTTGCATCTTAGACTGTGACACAATAATGGCAATAATGTTTCTTATAGCTGTCGAAAATCCCTCTCTCCCTGTATTCTAGTCTTCCTTTAGCTTTTTGGCTGACAGCTGCTGCTGACCTGCAGCGCGGTTTCGCATTTACGTCAGGGATGGTGCGTTCAGTAGCGCAGCGTTACCTGGATTAGTAACCTAACTGTAATAATGTAACTGTTTTGGAAATAGTAATCTGTTACATTACTGTTTACTGGGAATAGTAAAATTACAGTATTACTGCCCAACACGTTACGTACCACTGATGCGTGAGTGCGACTGTGGTACACACTGCGCAGGTGTGGAATTGGCAGCTGAACGCAAACGAACATCCTTGTTGATACTTGAAAAAGGAGAAAACTTTACACAAGTCAGCCTGTAGATGACCTCAAATCCTTCCATTTCATTTGGCCAGCTCCAGTACTTACAGATCTGGAAAAATCCACTTCCCTAAGCATTATTTATAACCGTCTCCACAACTAATTAGGAATATCTTTAATGTGCATGTGTGATTGTATGCTTGTTGTTCGGCATGTCTACAAGTATCCCTACTAACCTCAGACTCCACAGGGTAGCTGCTCTTTAGATGAGGAAGGCAGGCCTTGTTCCTGGCCTGGAGCTCAGCAATCCTCATCCAATCGTCAGGTGCACCGTCTGGCTCGTTCTCTGCCCCCACGCAGAATGTACTCGTGGCTGACGACAAACAGATGTTGACAAAATAAATGAGATGTACATGCGGGTATTACAGTAGTCAACAACTCTCTGTGATCAATTACTATAGTTTATCAATAACTATTAGTACGGCTGTACTCATCGGTGATTCACATTATCAGTGGAAAAGCCCTAAATTCTAATCTAAATTTTACAATCAAATCAGAATAGCAGCATGGCATGTTGTAAACCTTTACAAAACAGAGTTTTGTCTCCAAGTCACTTAAGAGCAAGTATCTGTGATAGAAAATGTGATGGAATCAGGACAGTGTGACTGTTTGCTGCTTCAGTACTGAATGCTAGTTAAGACGGCTAAACACAATTAACTCCTCAACTGTCGTACAGGGTGATCAACTCCTTGTCTGAGAAAATCACAGGTAAACAAAGGGCTCTGAATTGCACTGTTAGTTGTCAGAGGCTGTGAATGTCTCATGTATTGAAGAAAAAATAAAAAATAAAAAATAGGTCAAGTGGCTTAAACTTTGTTTTTTTTTATATATTAAATGTTGGTTGTAGCATTGTAGCCTGCTAATATGATGTCTCAGGTTTCCAATGACGTGTTTTTAAGTAAGGTGGAGATGTAAACATGAACCAGTCTGGTTCTGAAGGATTCAGGATATGGAGAAAATTGATCAGATAAAAAGAAAGTCATTTTTATGCAAACGTGCCATTTAATTTTCCAAGTGTCAAAATGTGAGAAACTCTTACATTACAGTTAATTGAATATATTGGGGTTTTGGCCTGTTGGATATAATACAATATAATGGCGTCACCTTTATGTCTAGGTAATTGTGATGGTCCCCTTTCAGTGTTTTCTGTTCGTTTCACCCGTAGCTCCATGTTACTCACATGGGTTGAAAAGGCAAAAAAAAAAAAAACACTTAACAGCTCGGCATGTTTTCTGCAAGTGAGAATTGTATCTACTTACTTTGTGAATGGACTGCGCTCCGTCTGTACCCTGGAAGACCGATGAGCTGGTCGTTGGCAGCGCCGGTCATTCTGGCTGGTGTGCCAAAGAGCTCCATAGACACGGGTTGTGCAGAGGGAGCATTGGAGAGGTTTGGTTGGGAGCGAGCGGAGGCCAGACTATAGAAAGTTTCATCAGCTTCACTTCCACCTGGGGTTTTCTACAGATCACAGTTCAACAATCAAATACGGCTACAATAATACTGTAGTGAGAGTGTGGCGATGTTTGAAGTGCAAGAAAAAAATTCAGGTTCAAAAAAAAACAGCTTTAGCCTCAAAATGCACAAAGACGATATTTGAGAAAGGGAGAGACAGAAACCATTGTGATTATTAAACGTTAATGATTATTGAACAGTGTTGTGTTGTTGTGAACATGCATAACATGCAACAAGTTTGCAAGTAAGTTTCCTCCACCTTGGTCATGGTGATGTTAATAACCTGAGTGGTCCTGCGTCGCTTCACAGAAGAAGTTGGATTTCTACAGGCTGAATCCACTTCCATTTTGTGCGCTGTACTGGTCCTAGGCGATGAAAAAGAAAACAAGAATCTCAATAATAATGAGTTTGGTTACTCAAAAAATAATAATAATAATAAATAGTCAGGAAATTGTGTGCGTTTAAGGAAGAGAGAATTGCCCGGCCGATTTTTTTTAATTTTTTTATTTTTTTATTCCAAACCGATAAATCACTGGATGATTATTTTTAAATAAATACCACAAAATAATGAACTTTAGATGAGCTGTAGCTTAAGTAAATCCGTGTTCACTGTTGCATGGTTAAACATATGAAGCCTGTAGTCAGGACAACTATTGCTTACTGCTATTTCTACTCATCCTTGTATTGTGGCATGGTTTGTGAACCTGAATCTGGCGAAGAAGAAGAATAGGCTTAGTCGACTTGTCAGAGTGGCCATTAAAAATATGGGGGGGGGGGGGATGGGGGGCAAACACAGAACCTTTACGATCGGCAGGTCGCAAGGAAGTTCATGCCATATTGGCTTGTACCGACATCCCCTGCAGGGGGAGTTTGAGATTCTGCCCTCGGGCAGAAGATAGACTTCCATACTCAAAGAACTCAAAGACTCTTTTGTTTGCACTGTAATTTGTAGACTAAATTTGCACAAATGATTGAAGCACAAGCACTTTTCCACTGAGCAATTTGCACACCTCGTCTTCATATGAAGTAATCTTATTGTCTCTCTGTCCTGTCTGGTATGTTGTATATATGATGTACTGAATGTTTTTAATACCTGACTGCAAGCAAATTTCCCCTAGTGGGAGAGTCAAATTTTACTTAACTTGATTTGGATGAGCTATACTAAAATCTAAAGGATTATAAATTATATTGTTCAAGAGTTCCAACATTTTTACTTCTATCGTCATAGTGCCATTACTGTTATCTACAAATCAAATTTTTCAAATTGACTACTAGTAAACTGATAATGGGTTCAGGCAAACAAAACATTTTGACTAGTCTTGAAGAGCATAGCTTTTATACTGGTGTTTACTCTGGATGATAGACGATTTCCACATACAGGAAAACTGACAACAGGAGAAGCTGAAATCAACCCAACTGAATTTTCTAAAAATATATTCACAATGTAATGAAGGTTGAGTAAAGCTTAGCAATTTATAAAAGACATTAAAATCTACAGTCAGTATACAATATACTGAAAATATATATCAATATATATCATATTAAAAAGAAAAAAACATGACAGTGGATATTCTGTGAAAAACCAAGAGTGTCTCAACTGTGTGATGTACCTGTTGATCTGTTTGTTGTTTATTGGTGTAAAGTAAAGGGTTTCCAGTGACTCGGCACATAGACCCCGGCGTTTCTCTGCCAAGCGCTCTGAACTGCGGACAAGCGGTGTGCTTGATTCATCAGGCGCTGAGAGTTTCCTGCAAAGGTAAAAAACACAGTATTGAGAGAGATTACACAATAGATTCCCACTACGCTGATGAAAGATTTTCTGGCTTTTCTGCCTTTCTCAAGTTTTATTTCTTCCTTCTTTACCTTGTTGTAGCATTATGACAATGGGAACTCATTAGTTGGAAAAACATTAAGTCAACTTTTTGTTTTTGTTTTTTAAACATAGTGCAAGATTACAAACCCAAATAGGTGAAAAGCAGGAGATGGTCTCTTTTCAGCTTTTCATTTATTCAGTTATTTTGGGTAGAAAAACTGTCTGATTGAAATTTGAGTGTTTAGATGCAGTTAGCAGTTTTAAAGAGTGTGTAGAGAGAAGATTTTGCTGGTCCTGCAAAATGTGGCATGTCCCCAACATAAATACACTATACTTTTATTTTGAATTTTGAGGTTCACTCATTTAGTAAATGGCATAACCCAAAGAACAAAAGGGATCAAAAATATATAAATAAATAAATAAATAAAAAAAGCTGATCCTTCAGACTGGCTCCTGACATTTTTAACTACGAAAATGAAATTCCAGGATTTTCTAAACACTATAGAAATGTTTTCTAGTACTTTTAATCAAATTATGAAATAGCTGCAATCACAGTGAGATATCTGCAGACCTGAAATATTTCAGGCTATTTTTCTTAGAGGTGTATTACCTTGTGGAGTCCAGAAAATCTTCCAGAGAGCTCTGGTCCAGACTGTCAGCACTCATGGTTCTCTTCACTTCACGTGCTCTACTGTGAACACCTGAGCGCATGCCGGGAACCTCAAAGAAACATGTCTCTGTTGACCTTTCTTCTTTAACTTGAACCTTATTCTGTGCACGCAGTTTACGGTCAGCAAAGGTCAGCTAAAAGAATACAGATATAACAATATCGATAAAGATCAGGGTGATATGCAGCAAAAATGCACCAAAGTCATTGAACTCAGTGTGCTGTTATCCAGCGATGAAAAAGACTCTTTTTTAAATGTTTGAAAATACCAACCTGTGCCTCCAAACTAGCCACCGTGCTCACAAGTTTCTTCTCACTGGTTAGGGCTTTCTCCAAATCCAGTTGAAGAATCTTCTTTTCCATGGCAATGGCCTGTACTTCTCGCTCTTTAGCCTCTAAGGAATGTTTGAGATGGGCCACCTCCTCTTGGCTTTCCTGAAGAAGCTGCTTTTTGCCATTGTAATGGTTCACTGCCTTCTCCATCTGTGGCATTGTGATGAAAAAACAAAGAACTTAGTATTAATCTCTTAGTCAAGCCTACTCGTCTGACACCAAACGAACAAACCAACCAAGTATGCTCATGAAGAGAGCAGGAGCAGTTGATATTACTGGTCAATAAGTAAAAAGCATAAAACAAAACGTCTATATCAATCATTTTATGATGTATACAGAGATCAAGTAGTGAGACTGAATTGTGTTTTATGGTCACACCAACCTGTGCCTTGTAGTGTTCCGCAGCTTCCGATTTAGCCGATAGCTGTTTCTGGAGGTCTCTCTCAGTCTGAAGGAAGCAGCATTCTTTCTTACTTTGAGATTCTTTAAGCTTTTGGATCTCGTCTTCACGCAAAGAAATCTGTTTCTGCAGAATCTCAGCTTGTTTGACTTTCTCTTGTAGGCTTTGGAGTGTTTCCCTCTGTTGAGTATTTTCTTGCTCTTGATGAGCCAACAGATTTTCCTTGGATTTCAAAACCTCCTCAGCTTTCCTCAGTGAGGAGCGTAGAGTCTCCACTTGTGTCTTTAAATCTTGGATCTGTTGCTGTAGAAGTTGCGACTGCTCTGAGCCATCAGTCTTCAGCAGAATCAGCTGTTCCTCTTTAATCCGGATCTCCTCATTCATCTTCCTCACCTTTTCCTCAGAAGCAGAGAGTTGTCGCTGCAGGAGATCATTCTGATGAGCGCTCTCCTGCTCCTGGCTGGTGAGCACAGCTAGCTGAGTCTGAATCTTCTCTTCAGCCTTTCTGAGAGAGTCACCCAAATTAGCTAGTTGGCTTTTTAGACATTCAATCTCTTGCTGGAACAAGTCAGAATTTATGGAGCTCTCTTTAGTTTGTGTGACCAGCTGTTCCTCTTTAGCCTTGATCTGCTCCCTAAGCCCTTTCATCTCCTCTTCAGAGGTTGCCATCATGTTTTGGAATGCATCTTTTTCCTGAGAAATCTCCATTTCCTTCTGAGTCAGCAGATTCTCTTTTGCACGAACCTGCTCTTGTGTAGTCTTCAAGGATTCATTCAAACTTTGTACTTTGTCCCTCAGAGAATGGATCTCATTCTGTAGCACCTCTGACTCCTTGCAGTTCTCGACCTTTAACATGTCCAGCTCACCCTCCTTAGTTTGGATCTCCTCTCTCAGCCGATTAACCTCTTCCTCGAGAACTGCACTGTGCTTTCCGAGTGCCTCAATCTGCAAAGTGCTCTCCTGCTCTTGCTTGGCAATCAAGTCTTCTTTGGCTTGAACCTGGTCCTTGGCCATCTCAAGAGAACGGTTCATATTTTCTATTTGTTTATTCAGGCTTTCAATCTCCTGCTGTAGCAGCTCAGAGTGTGTAGAGGTCTCAGTCTTTAGGAGAACCAACTGCTCCTCCTTGGCATGGATCTCTACATTTAGCCTCTTCACCTCATCTTGAGATGCTACCATCTGCACTTGGAGTGCCTCCATACCCTGAGTACTCTGTAGTTGCTGTTCAGCAAACAGATTTTCCTTGGATTTAAAATCCTCTTCAGCTTTCCTCAGTGATGAGCGTAGAATCTCCACTTGTGTCTTTAAATCTTGGATCTGTTGCTGTAGAAGTTGTGACTGCTCTGAGCCATCAGTCTTCAGCAGAATCAGCTGTTCCTCTTTAATCCGGATCTCCTCATTCATCTTCCTCACCTTTTCCTCAGAAGCAGAGAGTTGTCGCTGCAGGAGATCCTTCTGATGAGCGCTCTCCTGCTCCTGGCTGGTGAGCACAGCTAGCTGAGTCTGAATCTTCTCTTCAGCCTTTCTGAGAGAGTCACCCAAATTAGCTAGTTGGCTTTTTAGACATTCAATCTCTTGCTGGAACAAGTCAGAATTTATGGAGCTCTCTTTAGTTTGTGTGACCAGCTGTTCCTCTTTAGCCTTGATCTGCTCCCTAAGCCCTTTCATCTCCTCTTCAGAGGTTGCCATCATGTTTTGGAATGCATCTTTTTCCTGAGAAATCTCCATTTCCTTCTGAGTCAGCAGATTCTCTTTTGCACGAACCTGCTCTTGTGTAGTCTTCAAGGATTCATTCAAACTTTGTACTTTGTCCCTCAGAGAATGGATCTCATTCTGTAGCACCTCTGACTCCTTGCAGTTCTCGACCTTTAACATGTCCAGCTCACCCTCCTTAGTTTGGATCTCCTCTCTCAGCCGATTAACCTCTTCCTCGAGAACTGCACTGTGCTTTCCGAGTGCCTCAATCTGCAAAGTGCTCTCCTGCTCTTGCTTGGCAATCAAGTCTTCTTTGGCTTGAACCTGGTCCTTGGCCATCTCAAGAGAACGGTTCATATTTTCTATTTGTTTATTCAGGCTTTCAATCTCCTGCTGTAGCAGCTCAGAGTGTGTAGAGGTCTCAGTCTTTAGGAGAACCAACTGCTCCTCCTTGGCATGGATCTCTACATTTAGCCTCTTCACCTCATCTTGAGATGCTACCATCTGCACTTGGAGTGCCTCCATACCCTGAGTACTCTGTAGTTGCTGTTCAGCAAACAGATTTTCCTTGGATTTAAAATCCTCCTCAGCTTTCCTCAGTGATGAGTGTAGAATCTCCACTTGTGTCTTTAAATCTTGGATCTGTTGCTGTAGAAGTTGTGACTGCGCTGAACTGTCAGTCTTCAGCAGAATCAGCTGTTCCTCTTTAATCCGGATCTCCTCATTCATCTTCCTCACCTCTTCCTCAGAAGCAGAGAGTTGTCGCTGCAGGATCGCCTTCTGATTTTCACTTTCCTGCTCCTGTTTTGTACGCATTACCTCTTGAGACTGAATTTGTTCCTCTGCCTGCCTGAGAGAGTCATTCAGATGTCCTAGTTGGCATTTTAGAGCTTTAATCTCTTGCTCCAGAGATTCAGACTGTCGAGAGCCCTCATTCTTTAGAACAACAAGCTGCTCATTTTTGACCTGTATCTCTTCAATTAACTGCTGGACCTTTTCTTCACAGGTTACAATCTGTTGTTGGAGTATCTCCCTTTGTTGAACATTTTCTTGCTGGGTTTTAGTTAGTAGGTCTTGCTTAAGTTGAATATCCTGCTCAGCCTGTCTGAGCGACAAGCCAAGGTCTTGAACTTGGACTGTCAAGGTCTGGATTTTATTGTGAAAATGTTCTTGCTCGTTAGACTTCTCCAGAAGTAATTTGGCAAGCATTTCCTCTTTGGCTTGAATTTCACTTTTGTTTTTTTTTGTTTCATCTGTAAGAATGTCAACTTCTTCTTTAAGGCCGTTAATCTGTTGGTCTTTACCAGCCAAGAGAGAACTGGCAGCATATAACTTTGTCTCAAGATCTTTCACCTTTTCTTCAGTCTGGCAGAGAAGATCTTCCTTCTCTTTCTTAATTTCCTTTAGTTTTTCAACTTCTGCTTCACAAGCAGTAATTCGCTGCTGTAGTCTGGTTGTCTGCTCAGTTTTCTGATGCTCAACTTGGTGAAGTTGAAGCTTGAGATCTTGGATCTCTTGCTGAAGGAATACTCTCTGTTCAGTGATCTCCTTTTGCAACTTGTCTATAATTTCATCCTTGGCTTGAATAATTTCTTCAGTGCATGACTTCTGTTGCTTCAGGAGATCCTTTTGTTGAGTAATTTCTTCCTGATATTCTGCCAGCTGCTGTGTTTTGACCTGAATCTCCATTTCTGCCTTTTTCAGGGAACTAAGCATGCTCACAAGCTCATTCTTCAAACCACCGATTTCCATCTCAAACATTTCTCTCTGGCAATTTAAGAAGAGAAGACCATCAGTAACCATCTAATCAAAATAGAATTCAAAAATTGAGAAAATGTGTGAGTTGAATTTGAAACATTTGAGCTTAGTTTTATAGTATTCTTGTCAGCTATTACACATACATTACCTCCATTACAGGCCCCATATTCTCTCCTACTTCTTCCTTAGCAGCCCTGCTTATTTCTTCCTCCAAACAGGAAATCTTTCCCTGGAGGATCTGGATTTGTTCAGTCAGAAGCTCCTGAGAAACAAGGAGCATAGCACATTAAAACGCTTTGTGTAGAACCCAAAATGTAAATCAGACTCAGAATAATGGAAAAGTAAAATGATTGCTTCCAGTCAACACAAAACTCAAACGATTGCTATGCTTTATAAATAGCCCATCAGAAATACAGTAACAACATAAAACTATAACAATGTTAGATAACATATGCTTTTTTAAAACCATGTTTAATTCTAGTGGTTACAACTTGAATCCCTTAAAAGATTAAAAAAGCCAAAAGCTTGTTGCAAACACGGCTTCTGTTGAAAGGATATATCTACCTTTTCAGCAGTAGCCTGATTGAGCTCAGACTCTAGGTGGCCTGTTTTGCTTTTCCACTCCTCCTGAGCAGATGCTTGAGTTTCTGTCAGCCTGTCAACTTCTTTCTCAAAGATGGCCAGCTGTGAACACACTGCTCTCATCTGCAAAATATTAAAAGAAAGCCTTTACAATCTTTATTAAGTAAAAGTTCTGATTTGAACATTAACACGTGATTCCATGTAATGTGAAAGGGTAACAACCATAGACTGTTATCGCCAAACTCACTGACACTCAACACTACCAGCACGTTTGACTGCTAATCCCCTCATAACAGAGAGGACAGTTATGAGACTGTCATGTGTCATTCATTACCTGGGAAGAGAGTACACCATTTTCTTCTGTCAGCTCATCCACTTTGTGCTCCATAAGTGAGGAGTTACTCTTGAAGTCTTTATTTTGCTTTAACATCTCATTAAGACGCATTTGTAACCTAAGACACAAAGCAGTAAACAAAGCATATTCTTAAGTCAGTTTTACAGCAAATTTTTGCTGGGTTTAGGTATGAAAGAGTAAATTTCTTGCGCATACAAATTGTGAGATTGATTAAATTAATAACTGTATTTGCCATTTGTATTAGGTCATAAAGTTTAGCTGTAGCCTAAACAAAAACAACATTTTGTAACTTACAGGGTACTAGCTCAGTCCATTTCATTTTAAAATGGACAATCATTTTAAATTTGCATCTTTGGTGTAAAAGGTGTTATTAGCTCTGTCATGCATTAATAAACAACAATTTGTTTAGTTCAGTTCTTGGGTACTTACACATTGTTCTTGGTCTCAAGCTCATTAATTTGTTCCCTGATGACCTGCTCTTGATCACCTTGCTCCTCTTTCAACTTATCCAGGCGGTACTGCAACTGGTTAATATGGGACTCTGAAGAAAACAAAGTATAGAACCGAGTTTTATTTGAAGAGAAACAAATAGACATTCCTAAGCAGAACAAATTTAGTTAACTAAAGAGTACATTATCAGTAGCACTTAGACAGAACACTACATGTTTGTTAAATATTACTCAGAAAAGAAACAGACTACAAAAGTAAAACTAAATAGGTTAACCTACCAACAATGTTTTATCAATTCAAATCAGCTTATTGGCATGAATGTATAACAACAATATGGCCAATAAATTACAACAATTAATTTCATACATTTCATTAAATAAGTAAATAAAAGAGTAAAAGTTGTTTGTGTGTGTTAAAAATAAAACTTATGTAATAATAAATATTAAAAATAAAAGTAAATAAATAAAACAGTAAGCATGTGTTAGAAAATGAAAATAAAAAAATAAATGAAGCAGTAACGTCTGTGTGTATTAATAGACAAAATATTAAAAATGTATACTTTTTTTTTTTACTTAAAAAAAACAAACAAAAAACAGTATCAAATGTAAAATCTAAAAATAAAATACAGATAAAGGAACAATAACTAAAATATCAAACAATCAAAATAATAATTTGAAAATTTGTACAATTATTTATCACTTTCCACTGGTTGTCCTCAGTTCATGGCATGAGGAGATATATTTTGCAGCAATTATTTGATATTTAGGCATTTCTCCCAGTAAATAGGGGAGTTTCTGTGGGTCTGATATAAATTCGAATTCAGGGTATATTTGGCAAATGTTTGCAATGTTTTTTTCCCCTCAGTGTTTTATATTTAAGACATGAGGTTAGAAAGTGCAGGTCTGTCTCTACCTGTCCCCTGTCACACTGGGAGCAGAGTCTCTCCTCTTCTGGTAGCCAGCTCTGTCTGTGTCAACCCTTTTCAATGGCCAGGCTGTGTTCACTCAGTCTGTATGTTGTCAATATTTTTCTTAGTGTAGGACATTTTATTGTGCTCAGGTAGTTTGCCAGTATGAATTCTCTTTTTAGGGTCAGATAACATTATAATTTACTTTGTGTTTTCTTCATTTCTTTCCAGTATTCAATATATTTTTCTTTTTGCTTGTTGATAATTTGGTTTGGTCTGCTTGAGTTGGTGTTGCTGTCCTGAGGCTGCTGGAGACTTGTTACTGCAGAGAGCCTCAGGACCAGCTGGTTGAGGGGACTTTGGTTTCAGCTCCTGGTTTGTTAGGTCTTTGTGATGCTATGTCTGGGGGTTAACTGATTTTAAGTGATTGTAAAATTTAAAAGTTCAATGTTGTACCTCTCTGTGCAATGAATGCAAGCTTGGTGGCCAGCTCTCTCTCCAAACCATCTCGGTAGTCTCTCTCCCTGATCATCTGTCGTTGCATCTTCCTCAGCTGAAATTTAGGTGTGTTCATGATATCCTGCAGAGGAGACTTGCTGTGAAAATAAAAGCAGATAAGCAAAATAAAAAGGGAGGGTCAGCAGATCAATACCCAAACCACACAGATATCCTGTATAACCTCAGTGAAAAACCCATACTGACTGCCTCATAATGTGAAGTTTGAGTCTTCATGAAATATTATTTAAGAAAATTAGTGAAGTTTGGATTAATATTGACTGTTAAATCACCTTATTTACATTTGATAAATATGATAAGTCCTGTGTTAGATAAATCCACACTGATACCTGACTGAGGAAGAAGCCACAGTATGCATGTCCATGAATGTGATTTTCTGTGCACGGTGCAAGACAGGGGACTCGTCATCTGACAGTGAGGAAATGGTCGACAAGCTGGAGGTAGAGGTGGTTGTTGATCGCTCAAATATTTCATGAGAGACAGACAAATCTAAAATTCATGGAGAGATACATTTAGACAAATTTGAAATCTTGCATGTTACAAGACCAGGAAGCTGGTGTTATACAGAAGCATTGTGTGTGACACAAATGTCTGTTAATGGCATATCATGGGGGAAATGGAAGACATTAAAAAAAGTGTAAGACTTACGTATCCTTTTTAAATAAGCTTCAAGCCCATTGCTCAGATAAACACAGCCCTCGCTCTCCATTACAAAGGAACCAGTTAGGTTTGCTATCTCCCGCTAAGTGTGGAAATGTATATTAAATCAGCATCAAATTAAATGGTAGCACAACACATGATAGATTAAATGTTATGGTGATGTATCTCAGTGGTGGACACAAAACAAAACAGCTCTCCGCTTACCTCCACTTCGCATTCCAACATGTTCAGGGTGCAACGCTCATTCATTATGTCATGGTACACGAGCAACAAAAGCACCTGGTGGTATCACAAAGAACGAGTCAAAATACATTTTTGTCTTTGTTTATTATTTAATTATTCATTTGTTCTTATACCTTTGAAATTTCCACTGTTAGGTTGATGCCATCTCTTATTTTGTCCCAAGACAATGAAGTGCCATTGGTTTCACTAAATCTGCACTCCTCTAATAAACAAAATAGATACAGGTTAATTCTCAAAGGACAACAATATTCAACATCTGTCTGCCTGTAAGATTTAAGGTAAGTTAACAAAAAGGTGGTACTGAGGGTGTGTTCTTTACACACTGACATTACTGTCTGGCATGTTTACAGGTGCAACAGGCCACACTTCAGACCACACCCAACAATGATACAGGGTGTGGTCAAAGGTGCAGACATGACATTTTCAACAAGAACGTTTTTGTTAATAACAATACATTTTTTGAAAGATGGAGATACTCACTTTCCAGGAAGTCTGCAATGAGGTTAAACCGTTTCTCAATGGAATTACTGACACAGGAGACTGATTCCTTTTTCCTGAGATGACAAAGGTGAAGCAAGAATGAAGTGGAGGTTAATTCAAAAGGAATAAAACGTTACTTTCAAAAACCCACTAACATAAGAAGCATGTAGACGTAGTTCAAAGGTCATTGAGCTTCGTTTGTTTACACAGGCAAAGCATTTCAACACATTACTTACAGCATAGAAATAACTTTTAGAAAGACTGTTCCATCTTGTAAATCGTTGATAGTAAATCCTCGGTCAGACAGTTTTATACTGTTAATCTGTAAAAAGATAGTTTGACAAGTTGGTTAAATAAAACTGCAACCATCTAAAAAGACTTGCGGGAATCAACATATTTGCACTATCTAACTGTCAACGTAACGTTACCCAGCTAAGAAGAGCCTTAACACCCAAGTTAAGATCCATCTTGGCTGACCTCAAAGGGTTTTCAACCTGAAAGCCACAAAACAAAGCACGAGCGTAACTTACGTTATGCAGTTAGCTTTGTCAAGCTAACATATGAGCACATAGAACACATTTTCGACCACAACTAGCTAAATAAGTAATTAAAGTTAGCAATAAACTTTACAACATAACTTTTACCTCGCATACATAGTGCTAACTTAGAGTTAGCAAGGTTGGATTAACATTTGGTTTAACCTATTACGTTATTTGTTGACTAACAGTTAACGTTCCTGTAACTTAACATGTGTTATTTCTCTTAAAGACCAACTGAATTAAAATGTTGCTTCGAAGCAGTGCCTCACCTTCAAAGCCTTTGGCCACCGGATAATTCGTCCTTTAAGACAGATGCAACCTCTTCGTCTACCTAAACAAATCTACTGCCACGAACGGACAAAATTCAAAAGGAGTAGCTGCAGATTGAACGAGCCAATCCGATTTCACATATAGACGCATCTGAAAATAGCCGAAGTTGATTGGTTTAAAAGCCGGAAGTCAACTGAGCGGTGCGCTCGTATCTACAGGTCTATCGCAGGATATCAAGACTGTATGGCTGCAAAGCTTCGATGGGAGTCAGCATTGGGAGTTTATGGGAACAGCAAGAAGGATCAAAACAAACTTTACAGAAAAACTCAAATCTATGGCAGAGTAAATTGGTATTGTGAATTTGAATGTATGTCCACCAATATGTCGTTCAGATATACCTTCATGGTTGATCCTAGATCCCATTGTTGACCTATATTTTATGGAAACAACCAAAAGAAATATGGCAGAGGCTGTAGTGAAGGAGATAAAAGCCCGGATGTGTCAAATATGGGGAGGCCACCTACAAATCTATACTGATGGGTCAAAACGAAAGGAAGGGGAGAACATGTTATTCATTACAAAGAATTGTAGAGAAAGGAAAATGTGCTTTTAGATGCAAGAGAAGATATGCAGTAGTTCTATCCAGATTGAGGTTTGGGCACTGTGGGCTGGCTCTGATTGGTAAACATCCTGATGGAAAATGCGAATATGGAGACAAGGAAACAGTGAAGCATGTATTAGTAAATTGTAGAAAGTACTCTCGTCAAAGGAGGAAATTGTTTAGAGACCTGGGAGCAATTGGAGAAACTATATTTATCATACGCACTCTAGTTAATTTGGTTAGTTGGAACAAAATGAAGAAACTGATCGAGTATCTACATAAAACTGGTTTACACAAAAGGATATAGGCAATTACCATTAAGATGTGAATAACGAACAGAGGACGGCAGCAATACGCCACAGATGCGTCTAGTCTGCCGGAAACAAGAAGAAAAAGAAAGCTTCAATGGCGATACTATACCGGTGGGAGGCAGCAATGCACTAACACAGTGCCGAGACTGCCGGTAAAAATATAATATTAGTGCTGACTCCCGACTTAGCCAACCAGGATGAATTTCGGCGTACACCGGTCGTGCCAAGGAAATTATGTTTCCCCTGCCGCGGGAGCGCGCGAGCATTCAGCGGTGAAGGCGGACCTTCGACTTCATCAAAGTGAATGAAAAATATACCATGTGGATTGTTCAATGTATCGTTTTAGTATTGTTTTATTAACGAGGTTTGTGTAGAGCAAGCTAGCACTTATAAACGTTTTTATAGGCTTACGTTATGTGTTACGGAACTTCGTATTATTCATTGCACTCAATTGAGAATGTCTACACAAGACGAACATTTAGTTTCGCGATAACGTCAGTCTGGTGATGTTATAACTGACAACGTAGTCGATCACTTTGTCATCCATGTTACTGTTTAGAAGCTAGATTCATACGACTGTCACCTTTTTCAAGTAAGCTGCTCCTACATACGCCATCGATACTGTATCAACATCACTGTAATCAGTTTAACGCTTTGCTCGCCTCAACGTTACATCTCCTTGACTCGAAATGTACATTAAACTGAATGCAGCATTGTAGACAATATTTTGTCCTTGTAATCCATGTTTCCATTGCATGGCCTTTGGATATTGCTGGAAATTGTCCAACTCCTTAAAGGGTAAATTATTGTCATAACAATTTAATAATGCATTGCATTTAAACAGAATTTCATACACAAAAAGCGATAACAGTAGCCTCCTACCAGGCTGGACAGCAGTCTGCCAAAATATGTTTCCCCTTCCATAATGCAAAGATGATGGCCTACCATCAAGTATTTAATTTTGTGTATACTTCACATCAGGTCTAATAACAGGGGCGAATATGGAGACGTTTCTATTTTCCTAGCAAAAGTATAGTTGGATACAAATTATTTCAGACTTTATTTTCAACTTGCCATAAAATATATCCCCCCTTTATAATGCACAGGTGATGGCCTACTGTCAAGTATTTAATTTTGTGTATACTTCACATCAGGACTAATAACAAGGTTGAATATAGAGACGTTTTGACAGCCGGTGAAGCTACTCGGAGCAAATGACTGGAAATAGATCAGGCTTAGAATATCCTGTACAATCAATTAAAATGTCTTAATTGATCCACCCAGAGCTCCTAATGTTCTACAGCTTTCCAAGTGCAATCTTGAACAAACCAATTTTTCCCACGTTCAAACTTACCACACATTGTGCACTTTACCATTAATCCACTGTGTTAGTGAAACAGCAATCTAACACAGCTGTATGCTACTCTGCAACTCATAGTAAAACAACTCTCGTCAGAACAGGGATTTTGCTCTGTCAGAGTGCAGAGGCAGCAGAGGGCTGTGTGATGGCATGTCATCCCTCTCAGAACCAGCTCCACTTCAGTCTCAAACCTGCAGAGGACTCTGGGTGGTCATCCAGCCGGAGTGCATTCAGATTTCTGCAGTTCAACACTTATGTGTGTCCCATGACTTTAATACTTAGACTTGATGATGATTGCAAAGAAACCGGGTGATAAAGTGGATACACCACACAGAATAGTTATTGCATAGATGAATGCGATCAACAGCCAACGCTAGTTTGCAGCAGGCTATTTGTATTGTGTGCATAGGCTTTTATGTGAAATATGGTGTTTACAATGCAAACTGTAAAAGAGACACGGTACAGTAAAGCAACACTAAATTAAAGATTCATATAGTTGTTGGCCTACATACGGCCCAGAGGTTTGGACTGATTAATTTGGCTCTGTCAATGTGTAACTTTCCTAGAATGATCAAAAGATTGATTAGGAACAATTCCTCCTGTTTTCTGTTATTGTTACAGTGGAAACAAAACAGTTTATTATTGTCTCTGGATACAATTCCCAGAATGAGTAGTTAGTCTTTGCAAAGAGAGTGGCTAGTAGGATAAAATGTATGTATAATTTTAAAGAAATGTCTCTTACTTTATTAGTAAGAAGGTTACTTTTATGGGAGAGTCCATATTTCCCCAAGTTATCAGCACAGAGAAGTACTACAACAGAAAATCAGCTGGCCAGAGACCTGCTGCCTTGGGCAGCTTTGGGAGTCCGGCCCAGACCAAAGGGATGCATAATCATTTACACAGTCCAAGTTTCTATGTTTTGGGGGACAGAGATCCTCTCCCAGTCTTGAATTAACATTCAAGGAGAGAAGAGTAACGGCATGAGAGGAAAACAATAAAAACAATCAGCTCTGACCTAAACCCCATGTGTGGACAGACTAATATAATGAGTATAATAATAAGAATAGGTTAAGGATAGAAACAATATAAATAAGACATAACAATAACAGTAATAATAAAAGTACATGCATAAAAGATTAGATGTAAGAAAAAAACAATTTTCTGCCATTACATTTAATGGCATTTATTTAAAAGTAGAATTCACATAACACCATGGTTCTTCACACTCCGATACGATAGGTGGCGGTATGTACCTTTAAAGTTAGTTGCGATCCGCCAGTAAATACAGAGAAGAAGAAGCTCGCTAATCCAGCTATCCGTTTCATCCATTTTGTTTAGTTAAATTAGCCCGGCTAACGTTACCTCAGGTACAGTGCAGCAGAGATGGATGACGGTGACGAGCCGGGCTTAGTCCTCTCTCACACCACTTCTTCGGGCTCTAAGTCGGGCGGGGACAAGATGTTTTCCCTGAAGAAGTGGAACGCTGTAGCTATGTGGAGCTGGGACGTTGAGTGTGATACTTGTGCCATTTGTCGGGTACAAGTTATGGGTGAGTCCGGGGAACCGGCCAACGTTGATGTAGCTAACGGGGCTAATGTTACCTTTAATGTATGTAATAAGTCCCTGGCAGAGTGCCGTGTTCGTGACATGTTTTTCTTAATACGCAGACGCTTGTCTCCGATGCCAGGCGGAAAACAAACAGGAGGACTGTGTTGGTAAGACAATGTCAGCAGTAAAACACGTTATTAATTCAGGCATTAATCCAACAAGCTAACATTAGCTAGTGTGTCGGGGCTGTCAAAATACACGGACCAAGCCAGGTTTTTAAGTCTTCTTGGTCGTTTCATGTATTAAGTCAAATGGACAACATTAGTCTGAATCCACATAGACATAGTGTCTTTTGTTTGGATGAAACGCATTATGTTTATGCAAACGTCTAAAAATGACTCGGGATTTATTTAGTTGTGACGTTAAGAGCCAACTGCAGAGCAATTGTTTGTAATACACCTAATATATCATAAGTGAAGGTGTGTAAAATATTATAATAGTTCTAAGATTAATATTATTTCAGTGTGACTGGCCCTCCACGGAGTAAGATGTATTGTGACAGAAGGAGATTTACTGGATACCTGCAGTGTATAGCGCGCGTGTGTGCATAGTCTGTGTTTTTTAATTATTATAACTAGTTTAACTGTTACCCAAGTACAAATTAATCTTTTCAGCGGTCTCCGTGTAAGCTTCCCCATTTTTCATAACTTGAACACCACTATTGTCACTTTACCTCATTTGACTGTGCTGAAACATGCCAAAGATTGTGCTTTTAAGATAGATACATCTTGGACATAAATAACAAAACAACAGGTTTATTCACCATTAAAATAAACAAGGTGTAGGTTTACCATCTGTGTAACCTCAGCTGATTACAGTGTGTGTTCCCTGTTAATACTCATTCATTGTCTCTGTTTGTGTATCTCTATCGTCCATCTTTTTTCAGTTGTATGGGGAGAGTGCAACCACTCCTTCCATAACTGCTGCATGTCCCTTTGGGTGAAGCAGAACAATCGCTGCCCCCTCTGCCAGCAGGACTGGGTGGTTCAGAGAATCGGCAAATAGGCCCCACCACCAGGCAGTCTGATTCTCAGACGGCACCTGTATGCACCCAAAGTGGTGACAGACTTGACAGTGATCACTGCAACCTCCTGTGCAGAGCCACCTGGCATCGACAACTGTCCTCCTATATATGATTGCATGTTCCAGTAGTCCTGGTGTCAAAGGAGGATGATGGACAAAATTGAAGCAGCGCAGACTCGTTGGTTATGATTGGAGGGATCGAGAGTCGTGAAGAGAAGGATCAACCTTGTTGCAGTGTTTGGTCACATGTTAGCTTTACATTATTGTCTGGTGGTGTTCAGCACCTTGAATATGTGACTGTCTTTGTAAAAAATAAAAATAAAATAAAGAATAGTGTATAGCTGTAAATGTGTATTTGTTTCATCTAGTAATGTAATTTATTAAATTATTTTATTTAAAAGGGATGTACAACTTAAAACATAAATCTAACCATTTGATGCACCGTACCAGGTTATAGCTTTAATTCACATCTTTAGTCCTTTGGCAGGTCAAAACAAAGAAACTGCATAATAACATGATACAGAATTATACAAATAGGAATGACATGCAACACATTGAACATTGCTGTGGGGCTGATAATGATTAGCAATCACCAAACCATTCCTAAACATGGAAATGTGCAGTTAAAAGATGGAGTCTGAAATCCACAAGTCACCTGAATGATTAAGTACCTTGGCAGTTGAAGTGAACTACCTGGAAAGCGGCCATACTAACCCCTATAGGCTACTACAAGCACTTGTTCTACATGTATGGTGAGTTTGGCCTTGTTCCAGTTTCAAGCTTAACCTACAGTATTCAAAGAAGTAGTAGTTGAATGTAACTAAGAACATTTATTTAAGTATTGTACTTAAATACAAAATTGGTACTTGTACTTGAGTATTTCCTTTTTCCACACTACATTACACTTCTGCTCCTCTACATTTCAGAGGGAAATATTGTACTTTTTACTCCACTGTATTATTCTGACAGCTCTAGTTACTTTTAAGATCAAGATTTTATACATTAAACATATGATTGGTTATAAGGTGCGTTGTTATAGAAATGACTACCCAACCAACAGTATATACAGTTAAATTATTTAAACACTTTTACAATGTTTAGATGATTACAGTAATAAATCAGAAAAATATACAATAATAAATATACAATGAATGTAACTTTTTCAATGACGAGCACCTCTATTTTTGATGCTTTAAGTACAGTTTGCTGCTAATACCTGTGTATTTTAGTTGTGATTTTTTCTGCCTAGTAACAGAGTTTAATATTTTAAGATCCTTTTTGTTTAATCAGAAACACTCCTCTAAGCCGCCAGACTCAAATGATAAAATAGTAATTTTACCTCTCAGAACACAAGAGTTGCTGGTATACCGCTGCCTCACTTGTTTTGTTTGTTTGTGTTATTGTGTGACTTTGGTCTTTAAAAGGTTTAAAGCACTGCACAATAACTCAAATTTAGTGAAAGAGGCAGCGGTCGACCAGAGAGGTAGAATTAGTATTTTTGTCAAGGGAATCTTGGTGGCTTTGACAAGAGCGATATAGCATCTGTTTCTGGTAAAAAGGATCTTACTCTTTAAAAAGGTCTTTCTCTGTAGGGATACTTTCCACAATATCAGACACAGGTAATAACAATCTGAGCCTGTCAGTGGCAACAACAAGCCCTTTTAATGGACGTACTTTGACAAGGCGCAATTGCCCGCACTGATTACATTGCAGCCCTGTTTCACTGTTGCCGACTGCAGTGCGCCTGTTCAATACTGGACCAATTTCATAAAATGTTGTCCCAATTAGTCACATAATACACACAAACATGGGGAAATAAGTTGAACCATTTCACCTTTGCAGGTGTAGTATCTGTAGCAGGGCTATTGTAATGAGTTGCATTATTGGTGCACGTCTTCATGTTATTTTTTCCTCTTTGTAATTGTTTAATGTCACAGGTGATGTTGAAGTGAATAAAGATGAAGATGTGCTTTATGCACCATCTTCAAATATAAGATTTGTTGTGCCATGCAGCTAAAATCTTCAAGGATGAACATTCCCCACTCTCCTGACAGCTACTTCAAACTTATTTTCTTAGGCTGTTAACCAATTAGGGCTATTTTAATTTAATTTAATAAAGTTTTTATTCTCTCTCCTATAATAAGCAATGAAGTGTGCCTACTGCACACATTATACTCAGACAGCTCTCTCTGTGTCTTCTTTATCTCATAGCTCCAATTGCCTCTAACTTGTTGAGGTCAGGATCTGCCACCTCATCATGTCATGCTGGCAGCCTAATTACTGCACACAGGCACTTTGCATCTCCTAAAAATAGACGAGCCTAAAGCCTCTTAAGTTCAGACTACATAAGTTACTTTCCCGTAGTGGCGTCTACACATAAGCGCACAACAAATCCCTGAAGACGGTGGTACTTTTAATGCTTCAAGAGTTGTGGCACAAGAGGTGGAGGATGTTCGAGATGCATGCACTCAGTTGTGCCTGGAACCTGCTGATGAGTCTGCTATTAATGTCGTAGCTCACAAGGCCCAGCTGCCTACATGTATTTCACAGGATACATCCAATATGGGTGACTTGGTGGGACTGGACAACCTTGTGGCCAACACGGCCTACCTGAATGCTCAGAACATAGATTGCAATGAGCTGAAGAAAATGAGACTCTCCCTGACGCTCCCCAAACCAAAAAAGGCCTCTGTTCTCTGGGAGGCAGTGGGGAAGTACGAGTCGCTGTGTGAGCAACAGCCTATTGGGAGGAAATTGTTCCAGCAGTTCCTCCTGGCCTCTAACCCACAGTATGTGGCTGCCGCTGAGTTCCTGGAGGAGCTGCATGACTGGAGCTTTGGTGAAGATGAAGCCAGAGAGAAGGCCAAACAGAGCATCCTTGCTAACTTCTGTCAACCAGAGTCCAGGAGTTTTCTCACCTACCTCACAAAAGAGGCAGCGGAGAGGTGCAAGGAGTTATCAGATGAGAACTTTGATGAGGAGACGCTAGGCCAGATGAGAGAAGCCACAAGGGACTTCCTGAGGGGGAAACCATTCTCGGAGTATCTGAAAAGCCCCCTTTTTTATAGGTTCTTGCAGTGGAAGGAGTACGAGAAGCAGAAGATCAGTAAAAAATACTTTTATGAGTTTAGGATTTTGGGAAAAGGTGGATTTGGTGAGGTATGTGCAGAAAAATCCCATCTTCTGAATGAAAGTGTGAATCTCAGATTGCTTTGCTGACTTACAACAAATACTTGAGACTTTGTGTGTTTTAAAAGAAGAACTAACCTTTTCTCTTACAAAGGAAAATCTAAATGAGCAATTAAATGCACCCTTGCTCAGTTTAATACGCTCACAGCTTATGGAGGCTAATGTTAGGATATGTTAGCAGACTTTAAGTTGATTGATCACTACGTGATTTTCTCTGCTTGTGCTACTGTTATGTCATGTTTTAGTATTCAATATTATTACACAGTTCATTTCAGTAAAAGTTTCACTGTCTCGCTTTAACATCACAGCAAAAAGTAGCTGAAACATTTCCTAAAAGAGGACAATCAATAAATAAAGATAAATACAAATATAAATATAAATTCTAAACTAATATTGCTCTGTTTTGCAGGTGTGTGCAGTGCAGGTGAAACACACAGGCCAAATGTACGCCTGCAAGAAGCTGGATAAGAGGCGCCTGAAGAAGAAAAGTGGGGAGAGGCTTGCACTTCTGGAGAAGCAGATCCTGGAGAAGGTCAGCAGCCTCTTCATTGTAAACCTGGCTTACGCTTATGACAGCAAGACCCACCTGTGCCTGGTCATGAACCTCATGAACGGAGGAGACCTCAAGTTCCACATCTACGAGCTTGGGGATCGGGGTATTCGTATGGAGCGTGTTGTTTACTACGTGGCCCAGATAACCACAGGGATACTCCACCTGCACTCCATGGACATTGTGTACAGAGATATGAAGCCTGAGAACGTGCTACTGGATGCTAAAGGACAGTGTCGGCTGTCAGACCTTGGTTTGGCTGTGGAGTTGCCAAAGGGCAAAACAAGCTGCCTGAAGGTTAGTGTGGTGACCTGCCCCTAGATAACCTACAACACTCACTGTCAGACATTTGTACTGCTATGCACTCTGCAAAGCCTCTCTGTAGTTTGTGCTACTCTACGAAATGTCTATTTATTTGTTTGTACTCCTGATCACATATTCACATATAAGAAAATTGTCCATGGTCAATATTATCATTACTCTATTACAAAGCCACCACACAGTATATTTGTTCATGCGCCACTAAAAGTAGCTTACCAGGAATAGATTTGATGGGTCTTAGTCCGGCTCTGACAAACAAGCAGAGAGCAAAACCTTGTGTGACCCAAATGAATCTTATTAAAAGGTGCCTCACCTCTTCCCAAGTTGGATGCTGCACTGGGTGAGAACTGTATAGAAGAGCTTGTTAGCATTAGCTGGTTAATCTTTGCTTCACTAAAACCAGAAATGGCCTCCACGTGTCAGTCCAAGGAGATGAGTCAGGAGATTTACATCAGGCCGCCCACTAGAGCCATGACGTCTCATTTGTCTGCTAACCAGCCTGATGGAGGACAGTTAATGCAGCATTATTTGCTGTAACAGTGTCTCATTGTTAGACCCCAATTTCACACTATTGTGTTTGTATTTTTGTCTCCATGTTTCATTATTTAATCTTCTCATAAATCATGTCAAGCTGGTCAAAATAGTCTGTTGCAGTTGAGTGATGTGAACTTTAAAAAGCTGAATTTTTGACCAGACTAGATGAGTCTGTCTGGCCTCAAAAACAGCACATTGATTTGAGAGCAAAAAACAAAAAAACACTACATAAATACATTTTAAAATGTCTTCGTAGGAGAGTTGTGAGTCTTTTGAAGTCACTTGCATATGTATGTCTTTTTATTTAATTTGAAAGGGACATGTAACCTTTGATGTATTGTACCAGAGTTAGTTTAAAGCTAGCTTTCATCTGCAGTCCCCTGGTAGGTCACAACCATAGACTATATCAACAGACAGACAAACAGGACACTTAATACAAATTTACACACTCTTGAATACTGGAATTATTTTTTGAGATCTGAAGTCAAAATATTCCAGCAACTAAAAGAAATAATATTAGATCAAAGCCTGAAAATTGTAGAAATATGTTTTTTTTTACTGATTTCCTATGCAGTTAATTATCTCATGACCAGACCGATTTATTTTGAGACCTGTTGTGGATCCTGACCTCTAGACTGGGGACCTCTGGTTTATATAGAATGAGTGGCAGAGCTAAGGGACTGCTGCTGTCCAGAGTTTGGGGGGTTCTATAAGGATAGATGGTTCGCAGCGGAATGGTCGCCAAAACCTTAAC